TATGTAATCAAAGAAATGCAGCAAATGCGCAACATTCGTCCATCATTTAATACTCGTTTTGGATGGATGGTAGGCTTACCATATACGGGATTCTTCTTCATGATACTCGGTGGACGTGAACCGTGGACACTGAAAAATGAAGTAGAAGACTGGTTCCAGACAGATTCAGCGTGGAAAGTAACTATTTTGAAATGCTTTTTCTTTTGTAATACTTTTTCAGTCCTGTTGACAAGAAATAAATTTATAAAAAGTTTGTAATTTTTTTTTTATTTATAAAAAAAGGTAGCTACTAGAATTTGGTAATGTTTCAAAATATATATACCTAAAAGCATTTTACTTGGAAATGTATGAGAATACTCAGTAATGCAAATTAATTTGACTACAGATATTTTTCCAATCTGTACTTTTTAGATGGACTTTGAAGCAGTGTAATATTTCAAGTAGAACTTTTGCATAATGTCACAGAAGACTTTTAAATTGTAAGGAAAGAAATGAAACTTAACGTTTATCGTCACATATACATATTAAAGTGTGAATTCGTGCTTAGTTTTATGTGATTGATTTTTATTTTCACTTGTTTTCAAATTTTTGGTATTATTTTAGATAGTAGTTACTTAATTGCAGTCGCAATCTATTGATTACCCCAAACCTGATGGTAAAGTCACATTTGATATTTTATCTTCGGTGGCTCTCACTGGAACAAACCATGAAGAAAATCAACCATCTCATTTGCTATTGAGAAATGATGCTGATGCAGAGCTCACGTCATGGCGTCGATTTGCTGGCATAACATCTCGTTTTTGTCCTGCAGGTTTCCTTTTTGTGGCTTCATATCTTCTTAGCTGTCAATTTAAGATATTTTTTATGATTTATTTTTACTTTTGATTTTTGGTTTGTTTATGTGTGTTAATTTATTTTTGTTTCTTGATCTTAATATGAAACTATATTAGAACTTAATAGAAATTATTAATTGTATTAAATGTATGAAGTTCAATTTACGCGATAAAAATAAATTCTATTTTACGTTACAGCAATTTTTCTTATTCTAGAAAACAGCTGAGTTTTTAGAGTATTTTAAAGCTTGTCTTACTTTGTGATCGCATACATCTTGATCAGTAGTAATGATACAGGAACAA